CCGTGTCCTATCAGATCTTTGCAACTCAGCTTGCCTACATCTCATGAGGGCTCACCTGACATCAAATACTTCACTCCTCAAACCATAAAAAGACAGATATTCCTCAGAAACCTGTTTCCCTGCCCGCCTGCCTGTCAGTGAGCCATTCCAGGAACTGTTGTTCCCTGGCTTCCGCTCTTTGCTGGCTCAACAGACTCCTCGGAGCTATGTGTCACGTTCCAGCCTCATTTGCCCAGGGAACCCAGTTGCGCTGGGAATTGTGGCTCAGGAAAATGGCATGTTTGAAAAACAAAGCCAGAACTCTTTGAAAACAAACTGTGCATCCCCCAGAAACAACTTGGACTTTTAACCTCTGTTTTTTTCTTCTTTCTCGTTCTTATCAGGCAGGAAAGATCTATACATGCTGAGTGAGTGAATCTACCTCGGAATCTGTTCAGCGATCTGGTGAAATACAAGCAAGGGCGATTCCCCCAAGTGAGCGCCGCTCCTCAGCCTTCTGCTCTGCTCACCTTTGAGCGAGCGCCTTCCAAGGGAAACTTTGTTCTTGCAAATCAGAGCCCCCGTGACTCAGACGGAGTTGATTTCCCAAGGTAATGTGATGCTATTTAAAAAGATAAACTAAAAAGAGCAAATGAAACTGGTGCCCCATGAAACCGCTTGCTGAGTCCCACGCTCCCAAGATAGCCGCTGCGAAAAGCACCCCCGCCCGCCTAGAGACTCCAGGGTCTTGCTCCCCATCAGCCCTCAGGAGGACAATGTCCCTTCCCAGGGCGTCCTGAACGTTAGTGGGGTACCTCTTGGCAAGGAGGAGATGAGAAAGAGCTGCAGGAACACGAGCCCCAACTGCGTCCAGCGGTCCAGCTCCATCCTTCCCGCGATGGTGCCCGAGTGACCGAGAGGACAGGACGCACGCGGGAGTCTGCGGGCAGCGGCCCCTACAGGGACCTCCCCAAGCTCCAGCTGAGTGGGAGCTCGGGTTTCAGCTCCTCGCCAGCGTTCTCATCCTCATCCGAGGGGAACCACCTTCAGCCAGAGCGACGTCAGCCCGAACCTCTGCTCTCTGCTGCCTTAACCCTTGCGGGGCTTGGGAGGCTGGCTGGGGTCCTGCTGCGCGGGGCCCGCTGGGGACCGGGTGGAGGGTGCGGCCCGCGGGCCAGGCACCGGGGCAGAGGTCTGCGGCGCTGCGGAGCCGCTCAGGTGAGGCCGGGGCTGGCCCACCCAACACCGCGGGGCCAGGAGTGGGGGCTGGCTGTGCCCTCTCCGGATGCAGGCACAGGCTTATGGAAATTGTGACCAGGAAGGAGGGAGGAACTGGTGATGGGAGGAGAAAGGAGCTCACCCCTCTCTTCTTCCCAACACTTCTGAGCTCTTTTTCTTCTCCATACTCCAGGTGACCGCAGTTTGGAAACAGTTTCCTTCTCATGGTGTACATGATGGTGAGTTCAGTGGCACCTACCAAGCAGGGCAGGCTCAGGGATCGAAGAACAAGCTGGGCACTGTCCTCCCAGGGAGTTCAGGTTAGGGACAGGGACTGCAATGGCGCTTTGGAAGGAGGAAAAAGGATAGTTTACAAGATATGTGACTTTTGGGCTAGTTTCTCAATATCAGGTGACTTGCTTCTTTTATTCTTTATATAAACCTGTCCTCTCCCTCCAACAGGTAGGGTAATTGAGTCACTGAAAGTTCAATAACTCACAAAGTCATAAAGTAAGATTACAGCAGGGTTTGAACCCAAGACTCCAGGGTCCAAATGTTGTAGCCAGAGCTACCTGACTATAAAGTTTCTTACAATGCTACCTATATAAAAGTGTATTCAACCATTATAGACACAATTTTGTCTATACAGAGTCACATGTAACCACTATACCCACGGTGTACAATAGGTGATATTATCTATATTTTGGAAGCAAAAATAAAGACTCGAGAGATGAAGTGACTCACTCAAAATCACACAATCTCCCTGCCTCAATCTCCCGAAATTGAGATTACAAGCATGCACCACTATGCCCAGTTAAGATTATGCAGCTGCAAATGCAAAGCAAAATATACCCAGTTGTAATATAGAACCAGGACTTCGGGTCATGCCTGGCCCCAGTTTGTACTGTCAGATTAAAAACCAAAGCTAGAAGTGGGTGGTCATTCTAGGCCACTACTAGCAGGAAATGTTCCTAAAGCCAGGAGTCTCCAGCTATAGCCAGAGAAAGGCAGAATCCCAATCCCTGGAGGGCAGGAAGGAGGCCTTTCTAGGAGGAAAGACTGAACTGAGTAAGTAGCACTCAGATATGGTGAGTTTTTAAATGTTTGTGTCGTAATTTATACGTATTCTTCTCCCCAAAGGTTCCATGCAAAGTAGTTCATTAAAATCAATTTTTAAAAAGTTTTGTTAAAGAGGAAAGTAAAAACTAACTGAAGAGGAGACACAGGATGCATGTATAGTTTGGATGGGGCAGAGAGAGGAAAAGAATATGAATGTGTTCAGGCTGTTTGAATTTTATACGCTAGTGCTGGGCCCTCATAGTTTAGGATGGGAGAGTACAAAGTCTCAAGAAAGTAAGTCACCCCAGGCTACTGAATGGTTGGAATAAGGAGTAAGCAATGCAGGCAGAAGGGAAAAGTTGATGGGAACAATTTAAGGGAGAGTGAACTCCAAGGCTCAGGACAGCTTGGCAGGGCAGGAGCTCCACTTTCTCTACTCAGCGAGAATTTGCAAATCCCAGCTCTGCTTCAGTGGCAGCCTACTGCAGTGAAGTGACCAGAAGCAAAAACACAGCATTCAGAGACTCATGTTCAAATCCTTGTTTTGCCACTTCCTGTCTCTATGACTTTAAATTTACTAACCCCCTGGACCTCATTTTGCTCCTCTACAAAGTGGAAATAATAATCAAATCTACTTTACAGCCTGTTGGAAGCATCAAATGGGATCACGCACCTAAGTCCCATAATACAGTGCCAAACATACACGAACTGCACAATGAATGTCAACTCCTGTTGACGTGGTATTACCTGAGACTGACCCAAGAACATTGCATCAGACTTCTTCTTCACCCTCCACTTTGCTGTCCAGGGAAAATCTGCATAAAATGAGCTTAAAGAGGAAGAAAATAAGGTAGCCATAGTGTTGTACACCTGTAATTCTAGTTACTTGAGAAGCTGAGGCCTTGAGATTACAATTTTGGAACTAGCCAGGGCAATTTAGAGAGATTTTGCCTTAAAATGAGAAATAAAATAAAAAGGCTGGGGATCTGAAGGTATCCCCTACTTTCCTTGTGACAGAAATCAATCACCAGAGACAACTCCAGATCCTTTATCAAGCCCAGAGTAAACTGTACTGCAAACCTTACTAACTAATCCTTATTTCCCATCAGCTCCCCCTTATATTTATTTACTTTTCCACAATTTGCTGCTCCTGCAAGTTCCAAGTCCCTATTCTGTCTTGCCAATTCTCTCTACAATGTGTCATGCTTTTGCTAAAATGTTATATGAGCCGAATTCTCACCAAGCTTTGAGTTATTCCCCACTGTGCACTCCCAGGTATATGATCCATGGAAATGTTAGTAAACTTGGGTTTGCTTTTCTCTTGTTAATCTGTCTTTTGCTTGTCTGATTTACAAGGTTTTAGACAGTGAGCCGAAGATGGTTAGGGAAAAGAAGAAAAAGATTTTATTTCCTCTCCTAGAAACCTGATTGTCTACTTCCTAAGGAAGTCCCCTAGTAGTTGGTCTTGCTTCTCTGGATCTGGAGAACTTACTTATGTTCCTGAAATCTTTGTAGGGGTTTTCATGTTCATCTGTCACTAATTTGGCTTGCAAATTTATTGGGCAAGGAAATCAGGAAAGAAACTCTCAAAACAAAACTCTATGAAGGAGCAGACATATTTCTCTGGGGAGCTGAAAGTGGTGACCAGATATTACTTTGTAGAACTTTGCAAAAGCCCTGGGCTATGGGCTGGGGATTTAGCTCAGCGGCATAAGCGCCTGCCTTGCAAGCAGGCAGTCGTGAGTTCGATCCCCGGTACCGATAAAAAAGAAAAAGACAAAAAAAAAAAAAAAAAAAAAAAGAAAGAAAAGGCTCTGGCTGCCATGCAGAAAAGCCAGCAGTTTCCCTAAGGCCATTCAACACTACAGAAACACCTATTTTCCTGTGCAAGCTTAGTTTCTTCTGTTCCCAAAAGGTCAACTCAGTTTCTCCTACTTTCAGAGTTTAGTGTTGTTCTAAGTCAAATCATCTCAAAGGAGGAGCTCCATGGAGTCTATGGAAAAGAAAGTTTCAGAGTGGCTGTGTACTTTTGAAAATTACAGGCAAAATTTTACCAGCACATTCTAGAGTAAGAAAGAACTATGGTCTCGTGTCAAGTCTCACCTGCAACTTCTCAACTTTTTTTAGAATCACAGATTTTCAGAAGATGAAATTTGAAAATTGACCAAATATTTCTTGGCTTTGGGGAAAGTAATTTTGTATATATCAGTGTACACAATTGCTATGTCTAGGCTATCAATTGCACAGTGGGTATTGTTACCGCTGCATTTTTTTGAAAAAGTAGTCCTGCTTTAGTACTAGCTCAGATCATGCCCCCTAGTATTGACTCCGGATGAGCCCTTAGTATCCATGCATACCTGGGCATGGATGGTAAGGGCTCATCTGGTGATGATGGCCTTAGTTTCTTATCTGTTAAGTGGGAACAATAGTGGAACCTGCTCCCATAGAGAAGGGCTCAGAACACTGCCTAAAATATATAATAAATATCATGATGTTTTTCTCTCTCTCATATCCTTTCCTCTTATAAATATCCCAAGGAGGAACAAATCACAAGAAAAGCTATGGGTGAAAAGGCAAAGTGGCATATTTGGAAGTAGCAAATGATGCCTGGAATATATATGTATAACCAGCACACAGAAGTCAACTGTTGGCTGCAGTAAGTGGACACAGGCCCTATGGTTTATTACAAGTCGTAATACCCACTAATTTTTACATCAAAGGATGAGGCTCTCTAACAAACCTACCTTTTTTTGGTGCTACCAGGAAAGTTGGTTGTACGTGGCTGCACAGAGAGCAACAGCAGAGAAAGTAGCCTTTGTGAATGCCAACAGATCCTCAGTTTCCATGCTGCAAGTTCTGCAGATCAGCCACTGAACAGCAGCCAGAGAGCAGAGGGCCTAGTAGAGAGTCTGCTGAGAAAGGCATCCCAGACTCCTGGTGATCAAGTTTGGCTTTCATCAGCTGCGTGAAACATAAAGTTCAAATTAAGCAGGGCCAGAGATAGAGAAGGACAGCACTGCAGAAAAGACAAAAGGCCCTTCCACCAGAGCCTGCCATGAAGGGTCCCACTGTGAACATCTCGAGCCCTAATAAATCCTGGCTGTTTACCTACACAACAAGCAGCCACGTTCTACCTCCAGACCTGGCTCAGCTCCACTGGCTCTCCACTGGGAGCCAGGCAAGTGGTAGGGGCGTCTGTGGTTCTGGTCACATTCTTCTGGCTTGATGTCATTTTTCATGTAAATGTCTGAAAGCAGGCAAGCTTCTTTGCTTCAAAACTAATGGGCTCTTGAACCACAAGGGGGAATCTTGAATTCCACATGTGTAAATAAAAACTTCAATTTAAAGAGAAAAAAGTTATCTGCTATGCAAGTGAACTAAACAGCTTTACAAAGGAAACTAGTGAAAAGCCTGTTCACAGTCCAAGTGGCTAGCCCAAGAGTTAAAAGCAGTTCAGTTGTCAAGGACACAGGAACCCTTAGACACTGTTAGTAGGGATGTAAATTTGTACAGCCAATAGGAAAATCAGAACGGAAGTGTCTCAAGACACTAAAATTAAAACTACCATTTGATCCAGCTATACAACGCCTTAGTACATTCTCAAAAGAAGTAAATTCAGCACACTGCAGAGATTCCTGTATATCCCTGTTTACTTTTAGTGAAATTCACAATAGCTAAGTTACAGAAACAGTCTAAGTGCCCATCAATTGATGAATGGATAAGGAAAATGTGGTTTATATCCACAATGGAGTATTACTTAGTGATAAAGAACAAAACCATGTCATTTGCCAGAAAATGGATATAACAAGAGATCACCACGTTAAACCAGAATCAGAAAGATAAATATCATAGGTTTTCTCTCATATATGAAATCTAGAAAAGAAAGAGACCATGACCTGAAAATAGATGGGAAGCTGTTAGAGAAGAGGAGGGGGATCAGGTGAAGGGAGGGGAAGGCCAGGGGAAGGTAAATGACCAAAGTACATGATTTGCATGTATGAATATGCCAAAAGGAAACCCTGTCACCTGTATAAATAATATGCAACAGTTTTTAAAAGCAGCTGAATCATTTGAGTAGGGAAGGAAACAAAAAATAGGGTAACTCCAAGAGAAACCAGTGGTTTAGGAGTGGATATGATATACAAAGAGGCACTGTGGTCTACAGACCCAGGCTGGATCAAGGTTCCACAACCTACTGGATGTATGAGTTTGGGTGTCCACTGAACTTTAGGCTTCAGTTTCCTCATCTATAAAAAGGAGGTAGTAGCTATCTTGTGATTTTAGTGAGAAGATTAAAATCAGGCTGGTATATACCATGGAAACTCAATCAATGTGTACTAGGACTGTAACTATGAATATCTCATCAGAGAGTTTTCGAAAATCCTCCTTTCAAGTATTTAACCAAAATTAAAATAAAATAGGCACAGATTTCCTCAAGGCTGTAATTTAAGTTGCTATATTTGCTTGAATCAAACACACATTTGGAAAATTTATCACCTTGTACAACAGGCTTCCAGTTTAGGAGTGCTAGAGAATATATATTTGCTCAAGGACAAAATTGAGAGTTTTTTCCTAATTGGGCCCTACCAGTGATCCAGAAAATCTCCTGCAGGGAGATTCCTAGAATTGAATCTCTGGTTCCATCTTATACATTGTTCACTGGGGTAAGAACAGGCTTTAGGTAAATCAACTTGTCTCTTTTATGGAAGTAAATAAAGGACTTAGAATAAACAATTGCTAGGTGAACATCATTTATTCACTTATTTAAACAGCTGATTGCATGTCTACTATGCACATTATTTAGAGGCCTGGAAGTATGGCTGTGCATAAAACCCATGTGGCCCCTCAGCTTGCAAACTTTCAGATCAGACAGGAATTAAACATTCAGCAAACAAGGTGAGTAACCCAAATGAGGACAGAGTGCTTTATAAAGTTGTAAGAATGAGCCCAAATCTTTTCTGAGGCTCAAAAAAACTTCCCTGAGGAAGTGACATTGAGCTTCAGACCTAACAGAAAATAGAAGGAAGAGAATAGAGACTATAGGTGGAGAATGGACTATCTAAATAGGGAGGCTAAAGATGTAACCAATGAACTTTATTCTAAGGACAACAAGAAATAGTGTGTGTCTCAGATTCAATTCTCACTGCATACCACAATCAAGAGGGTGGAGAGGAGTGATTTGACCCTGGAAATACTGAGGACAGGATTTGTGACTGCTGGTATGTAGGGGATGACAGCTAGAGAGCGGTTACAGATGTCTTTAGTCTGATGGGTATGTGGATGTTGGCTGGTATATGTGATGTAGTGGAGGAATTGAAACGTCCTAAAAGTTATGAGAATGAACAGTGACCCAAGCCAGCAACTTAACTGCAACCTCATGAGAGACTCCCAGCCAGAACCCCTCAGTTAAGCTGCTCCCAGATTCCTAACCCTCAGAAACTCAGTGCAGTCATCAATTTTCTTGCTTTAACTCTAGCTTTGTGTCTCAGTCCATTTGGATTGCTACAACAAAAATGCTATAAACTGAGTGACTTATAAAAACAAAAATTTGTATCTTATAGTTCTGGAAGTTAGGAAGTCAGAGATCAAGATTTAGTGTCTGATGAGTACTGTTACCATTTAGATCTAGAATGTTTCCCCCCAAATTCCCATGTATTTAGAGGCATAGCTTTTGGAAGGTGATTGAATTATGCAGATGATACTCATTGGTGGATCCATCTGTTAATGGATTTCCAATGGTGTCTCAGTTCAAAAGCTTAATTTGTTCCACAATTCTAGGGAGGATGTCCATACTTGTGTTTATGTGCGGGAGATGGGCATAATTATGTTGACAACTCGATATGGAGTTCAAGAACAGAAGCAAACTTTTGCCAAATGCTTTTGTTCAGGAACCAAACTGTTCCCGAAGAGAACTGTTTGAGAAGAATATTACTGTATAGTATATCTGAATGTGCTGTAAGGAGATGGGGTCTGGTTGGAAGCAGATCACTAGGAGTACAAACTGGAAGAGTATATTCTTGTTCCCCCTTCCTCCCTTCTCTTTCTGCTTCCTGGCTGCCATGATGTAGCACCATTCTTCAGCCAGGCCCTTCTGTCCATGCCATTTCTGCCTTGGAGCTAGCCTACCATGGGTTGCACCATCTGAAAACCATGAACCAAAATAAAACTTCTCTTCCTTTAAATTGTAAACATCAGGCATTTTGACCCAGCAAGAGGAAAGTGACTGATACAAAGGCTTAATTTCTGATATACAAGGGTGCCTCCTATTTCCTTGCAAACTGCAAGAGAAGAGTTCTCATGTGTCCAACTCCTGTTATAGCTCAAAGGTTTTCTTTCCACTCTCAAATTCAAATATTGGAAGCTAATGTCAATAGGGTGATTCTAAGAATCACCATTATGAAGCCATTAGATTGTGAGGACAGAGTCTTCACAAATGGTATTGGTGCCTTTACAAAAGAGGCCTGTGGGAGCTTGTTTATTCCTTCCAACATATGAGTCCTCAGCAAGAAGATATCACATGTGAGACAGGAAATGAGCCACAAGAGGCACTGAATCTTCTGGCACCTTGATTTTCCTGGGGATTTTCCAGCCCCCCAGGACTGTCAGCAATAAATTTCTATTGTTTGTAAATTGAAGTCCATGATATTTATGATATTTCTATCCAGTGGACTAACACAGTCTCTTAACACAAATCCTTTTCAGGAGGGCGCCACCCTCATGACCTCATCACCTCCCAAAGGCTCCATCTCTGAGCTGTCACACTGAGGATCACATTTCAACATATAAATTTGGGGGAAATCACAAACTTCCAGACTGTAGCACCCAACAACAAACTGCAAATACAAAAGGTTATAAATTGGGAAATATGTGTTTAATGGAGAAATTAAAACTGTCTATATCCCAGCAGACCTCTAGCCAAATAAAAACTGTTAGCTGACCCATAGTGTGAGGACTCAACAGTGAGAAATGTTAATAGAATGAGACTATCAGCAGAGATTTCCAGCTGTACATAACAAATCCAACTCATATGACTTCAATAATAGGAAACTTTATTATGTCATATAAAAATAAGTCCACAGGTAGGACAGTTCCAAGTTGTTTAATTCCATGGCTCAACAACAATATTAAATACTCAGGAGCAAAGTACCAAAAAGTATATACTGCATTCAAGTTTTTATCTAAAATATAAAAACATAAAAAGAATATATTATTTATGGATACAAACACATATCATGAACTATTTAAACATGCAAATTAATAACATTCTCTATTTTCAAGATAGCAGTTATCATGGAAATGAAAAGCAGAACAAAATACAAGTTATAAAATTTTAGCTAAAATATAAAAGAAGCAAAGGAGAAATCTGAAATTAAGTGAAATGTTACTCTTGGAAATGAGTACACAGATTACTCTAAATTTTTAGTATGTTTGGATTATTTATAATTACATGTATATTTTACAGTGCTTTAGAGAAGATGTAAAATGGGAATGCATAGAAAAATGTTTTTCAGTGAATGCAGAAGACAAGCTCTTATTCATTTAAGAAAACATCTTCAGTGCCTGCCAGGTGTTAGCACTGTTCCAAGCAGCAAGAGTAGAATAGTGATCAAGGCAGAATTTCTCCTGTATTCCTGGAGCTTACACACTGTAGGACAAAGATGTATAGCAAATGAGGAAGAACAAATGGCAAAAATGCTATGCTGGAAATGAAACACTAAATGAATGCAACTTGAGAATATTCTTATTAGTGAAATTATTAAGACACACATGTAAACATTGTATTATTTCATTAGTGTGAGAAGATGAAAGAAAAAACATATGTATATGTATATGTATACGTATGTAAAATGATTCAGTTAAGATAGTTATACTACTGATTTCTCTGAGTTCACTGAAGAGAAAGATTTGTGCTGGTAATGTTCGGACAAATGAATGCAGATGTCTTAGCCTCTGGGTAAATG